TGTATCTTGGGCTCTAGCTCGTAGCAGAAGTGTGTCTTGCTAGTTGCGATTTGTATAGTTGACATCAGGCTATTAGAATTTATGTTAGTGTTCTCTATTTAGTTGCACATTTTCTGAAGTGTGGAAATGTCTTGGACTTTCAAGTGGGTAACACATCAAAATGTCCCCCCCTGTTAGTGTTCTCTATTCAGGAGCAGAACAAATACTGCCACGCACTTGATGTACCCAGAAATGCAGTAGCATTTTTGTTTGACTTTTGAATGTGTTAAGCACTTGTTAGTGTACAATATTTCAACACTTCCAAAGAAGTCCTACTGCATACAGAACACAGCCACTAATTCTCCTACAGCCAGATGTCTTCTAGACAGACAACAGCTAACATTTTGTTGAGAGCAAGAGCCTGAGAAACAGAACATTCGGAAGCAAGATGGAAAATTTCTAGACACCTCAGGCCAGTCAAAATAGTTCTAAACAGTATTTTAATATTGAACTCGTATTTTAACATTAGAAACTAATGTAATAATGAAAATAATAAAAATACTCAGGTGGGACCCTTCAGACAGGGAACCCTCCAGATATTCCCCCTATGGATTACATATTTCAATTCTCATATTCCCTTACAGCAACTGTATTTGGAGGAATATTCCTTCGAGATCCACCTCGGTTATCTGCTAGAGGAAGAGGAAATCTTACAGCAATGGATAGAAAGAAAGCAAGCTTTGTTTACCACTTTCTTGTCAATGATCTCAGTGACTATGTGACAAGCAAGGTACTTCACCTTGGCCCAACTACTTAAAAAACTCTTTGAAAGTATTCCAAAATTCAACTTCTTAACACAAGCTTTAAAAAATTACTATCTTATGTACTTGAATGAAGTATGTACCGGGTGTACAGGCTAATACTCCCCAGTGTTGTGGGTTTGCATACCCAAGGGGCTATGGCGCCTTACGCGCAGATCGGGTCGGCAAACCCGCAACACTGTGGTGTATTGCCTTTACAGATGGTACTATGTATGTCTCTTGCACTTACACTACACCATCTGTTTGGAAATACACACTATTAAAATAGGTTACCATCATTGTGGTAACTGCACTGTATGTAATTTTATTTTTAAATGGTTAATCACTGAATGCAAACCATTTGCATTTTGAATTCTTATCAAGTACTGTAACTGAGTACCTAGATTGCACAGGTAGTTTAATGTACAGAATAAAGGTACTTTACTGTTGTGCAAAGTTGAATATTAACAAAAAAAAATTGTATCAAATCATAATTACTTGTAAGTCAGTGTTTTATTTTATGTACTGTAGCTTCTTACATTGAAATTACACAATTTTCTCTTGATTTGTACAATTTTTGCTACTCTACCACTTCAAGTAGGGTCTTCTTATGCATTTCTCTGATTGTTTCTGAATGTCATTATTTTAGTAATGTTGTAAAGCTAATTGTTTATTAAGTTCAGTGTAATAGTTTCTATTTTACTGTGTTGTCCTGAGTGGAACGAAACCAAGTAAATGAATGGTTATTTTGCTGTTATTCGCACGACATATTAACACTTAAATAACAACATATAACAAATAAACTTGTTATGAAGAGACGGTAATTTTGTCATTTTCTTCTTGTTAAATGGACCACTTTAACAAGAGGAAAACGACAAAATTACCTTCTCCTTATGACAAGTTTATTTGTTATATGTTTTTATTTAAATGTTAATATGTCGTGAGAATAACAGCAAAACTATGGCAAAACAACCATTCATTCACTCGGTTTCGTTCCGCACGGGGTATAATGCATTTTATGCGGATAGGCAGGGACCATTTTGATGACTTTTCTAGTACAAAAATAGTCTACTTAGGTTGTACTTTGCTACAAATTTATTCACGGGTTTACTGTTACTACTCTGATGAGATTGCTTTTATGTGCAACTTCTACTTATTCCAATGTGCCTGTCATTTATAGCATTTAGACACAGGTACCTTTTCTCCCTGTAATGAAGTCAAAACCCTAAATTTGTTTTATCTGTTGCTCCTTGTCTTGCCTTTTTCCAGTAATAATAAATGTCTTCGAAAGCACTACCTCTGTCAATCCTTAAAAGAAAAAAAAATGCCTTGTTCCAACTCCGACAACGTCCCTAAATACGGTCGATTTTTAAGGGGAAAAGGCCTGTAAAATCTGTAGTTTGGTAGCTACAGCCTATGGCACAGATAGTAGAGCGCGCCTGGGACGCGGATGGTTGTCGGCTCGAATACTAACCGAGGCTCATTTTTTTCCTATTTAGTAATTTGCGGCGCGGGGACCAAGGGTTAGGACAAAAGACCAGCCGACATGGGGAGGTGGACTTGCTTGACCTGACCGCCTACTCAGCCCCCTTCCCCCACGGCCAAAAAACAACGACAAGATGTTCGCTTCGACCGGGACTCGACCCCTGGGCCGTGAGTGTTTTGTGCACCACGCTACAACGCGCTCGCCACTAGGCTGTCGGCTCCACTTGTCAGTGGAGAGTTCAGTACTCGGTCCTGCTTTACGAGTCTTGGTCTCCCGGATTGCACACGTTCAGGTCGGGTCAAGTCCACCTCCTCGACGCGTTGGAGCCCAGGTCGATTCCTGGCCAGAAACAAGGAAAATGGCCAGTAAATGAACCCCCCGAGCACGCCGATGACACTCCCACGACAAATACGAATCGGCTCCAAACGTCGTGTACACACGGGCTGGTGCATATTTCTTTAAAGCGCCAAATATTATTATTATTAATAGCAAATCGCCCATAATAGTTTATTATCCTGATCATTTCATTATTGTCACTTGGCACTTCCCTGGCGTTGCCGCCTGGAGCCACACAACGATGCGCGGGACGGGAAGCATCCCCAAAGGATCACATCCTGGACAAGCGAGGCGGGATTGCCTACCCCAGGAAAGAATCACATCCTGTGACCACGATATGTCGGTGTGAGTATATCGTAATTATTGCTCTCCTCCTTTGCCGTGCCGCGTCCCCTACCCCTCTCCTCCTCCCCACCCCCACTGCGCATTTCCCGCGCCTTTATGGAAACGTAAACAAACAGTGAAAGTCGGTGTCCACGATCAGCGTTTCTGCCAAATACCGATAATACCTTCTCATATAATTATTGATCATAGGATTTTAACTAGCATTTTAGAGTGGACATCGCCGCTTTTCGTTATTAATCGCAAGGTATAGTGCTCACTTGTTTCCGGTCCGGAATATTGAATTGTTCCATTCCGGTTATTGTTGTAGGAGGTTAGTGTTCTCCTGTGGCTCAATGTTAACACGCACAATTAAGTTGTAAGTTATTTTTTGAGGCCGAGTAAATGATGCCCGTGATGTAAATAACTTGGCTCACTGTCAGCTTTGTTGAAAAGGTGTTGAATGGGTAGACTCCTCCAATCCATGCAGTATGTTAAATACTCTTGTAGCACTTATGCGAATGGGTGAACTGCCAGTGTTTTATCACATATCATTTTATCACATATATTTTACTCTATATTATTCTCGTACGAGATGGCGGGATGAAATGGACAGATTATGGACAGAGATTGAACGGACATAGAACGGACATAGAACGGACAAAAACACGCCTGTCTAATATGTGTCAAAAATGGACAGATGTGTGACAAGTTTCGGACAAGGTGGAGTCGTCTGTTTCGTGTCCGTTCTGTCCAATTCCAAGCCTCCCTCGTCCAGTCTATCCTTCTATACGTCTGACCCCATGTCCGAAATGTGTCCGAAATCTGTCTAGGCTGTCCGAAATGTGTCCAAAATCTGTCTAGGCTGTCTGCGATGTTCTAGTGTGACGGTTCAGTGGTTACATTGGATGGTTTCCTTATATTCTATATGGTCAGCAGAGTAGGTCAAACTCTACCTTCAAAAATTCAGACATTCCCATCACACCACTGAGGGTCTAAGAGTGTCAGTCTGTTCACGCGCAGGACGCGTGCAGGGAAGAAGCAACTCGGAAGACCCCAACCAGATAGACAGATACATTCATCCGCGAGATGTATCTTTAATCCTATATTAAACAATTTCAAAATCGAATTTTGTAAAATCAAAGTGTGATTTGCATGTATACAGCCAATCTCTGTTGCCTGACACGATACAATAAGCAAAATTTTAGAAATTCATGTGTTTTAGAGGGAAACAACTCCTTAAGCAGTGTTCAAGTGCTTTCAGCGCATCCTAGCGGAGATTTCGAAAAACAGGTGGAATCCGGTGACGAAAGTGTGTCCGAGCTCTGTCAGCCCTGTCCACAACCGAACATTGTCGGATTCCTGTCCAAAGTTTGTCCGAGATCTGTCAGCTCTGTCCACAACCGAACTTTGTCGGAGTGCTGTCCAGATCCGATGTCCAAAGTGTGTCCGATTTCTGTCAGCCCTGTCCACACCCAAACTTTCCGATAATCCGATAAGTTCGGTTGGATAGGGCTGACAGATTTCGGACACACTTTGGACATCGGATCTGGACAGCAATCCGACAAAGTTCGGTTGTGGACAGAGCTGACAGATTTCGGACACACTTTGGACATCGGATTTGGACACCAATCCGACGAAGTTCGGGTGTGGACAGGGCTGACAGATCTCGGACACACTTTGGACATCGGATTTGGACAGCATTTCGACCTGCTTGACAGCAAGTGAACATACTGGACAGAGTAGACAGAATACGGCCTTATTTCAGACGTGCTAGACACACTTCGGACACGGAGTGGACAGTGATTCTGTCAGTTTTCTGTCAACTATCCCGCCAGGGGTGGAACAGAAAACTTTATTACTTTCTGGTTGGGGTGCAAACCGAGTGGTACTATTTGCGTAACCCTCCAATCAATCAATCAATGTGCGTTGCAGATAATTTGCAGGTGCCCCTTCGTACTTAATGCTTAGTCCAGTGCCAAAATTAGTTATTTGAAAGACCATGGTCAATTAGAGACGTATGGGGGGAGAGGCATTTAAAAGTGTATTGTGTGAGTAAATTATATGTCATTAATAGTCGATGAGCGCTATAAGTACCGTTTAATATGATTGCAGGAACTCGGCCCAGAAATGTTCTTGACATGAGCATAGAAGTCCATGGAGTCCCGCAGGCACCGCTGCCGCCGCCACAGAAGCACTA